TTCTGCAGTCATTGCTACACTTATCTTGTCATATCAAATCAATTGTAATATAATTTTTTTTATATATTTAAATAATAACTATTAATTATATAAGTAATTTAAATAGTTAAATTCAACGGAAAAAAAAAATTATATGCAAATAAAAAATTGAAAAAAATTCAGGAAGAGGTATCAATTTTTTTTCCTGAAAATGAAGAGCTATGATTCATAGCATTAATGTCAGTAGTCTAGATAACTCGCAGAAGCCCTAGTAACTTCGATCAATCATTAAGCCCATCACAGAAATATATTCATGCACCTATTTTTTTCCTTTTTTCGTAGAAAACATGCACCTATCATCACTCTTTTATTTTTTTTTTTACAAAGCATGCACCTACTTTCTTTCCTTCTTTCCTCTTCTTCTCCCCCCCTCACCCCCATTTTTTTTTCTGAAACACATATTTTCCATGATTTTTTTTTTTTTTGAAACAGATATTTTACCATGAACCATGCTAACAGCCGGCCAAGCATACATGGTCCGTGAGTGACTGAGCCCTGGCCTTACCCAAATGAAGCACTGTGGATTGTTATTTTTCATTTTTCCAGACAATGTCAGATCTACTAAAAGCCAACATGCATTATCGCTCTCCATTTCACGAGGGCAGTACAAATTTCATAAACAGGACAAGAGAATCCCCACCATCCGACCTTTTTCGACTCCTCTTGGCTTGAAAGACACTATGATAAAGCATGAAACCTCGCTAGATCTCCTTAAACCCCTTAGAAACCAAATCACACCTTCGGAGTGCTAACGAAATTTTACCCACGAGCTTTCCTAAATGTTAAACTAGAATGGATCTACTAGTAGTACCTAGAAAACACGAGTTTATTCTAGTACCAGACTTCTAAAACGAATGTCTCAAAAATTCAAAGTTTGATAAGAGTGACAAAAGACTAGTGACTGAAGAAGGAATTCAACTGTAATATAGCCTATACCCAGACATTGAAGATTCAACATTATAAACAAGTAAGAGTTCATTGGCTAAAAAAAGAAAAGACAACACATAAGAAGTCGGTTTGCAGAAGCAACTCAACATTATAAATTGCAATCAATACATTACTCAAAACTGATAGTTTTCTGTTTAGAGGATCTAACATAAAATTATACAAATAAGCTATGCATGTCTCAGACACTCATAAAGACGAAGAAACAAAAGGCAAACAAGTTGAAAACCAAACCAAACATAACCAACCCCTGCCCAATCGGTACACTCAAAACCACAATATGCAGGACAAAAAGGGCGACCAAAATACAAGCCAACATCTAGAAACACTTCCTGTGGACAATGGCAGGGCCCGATTCATCATACTCTGCCTTTGATATCCACATCTGCATCCAATACAAAGCAAGCTTAGAAAGTCAATCTAAACATAAGAAGAATGACACCATCTGTACAGTGAACTTAACAAGCATAAATTGTCACTATACCCTTCCAAGCTATAATAATAGGAGGAGGGACAAGAAGACAGTAAATTTGTGGATAAGTATTAAACAAAAACAACACATCTTCATAAGCACTCAGCTTAAGTTCTCTTTATGAAGAGGAAAATGGTTGGACTTAGGATTTCCAAATTTCAATATTTCCTCCATTTTTGTTATCTTAATACTAACATTTAAAACTCCCAGATCTTTCTTTTTCATCCTATTCTGTCCCTCACCAAAAAGAGATGCAAAAGCAATGCTCCTTTGCAGACTCAAGCTCTTGATGTTTCACATTAATCAACAGTTAAAAGGCTGACTTTATTTAACCTGAATAATAGAGAACTCAACCCACAATATTCTTTTGAAAGCAATATTATCCATACCTGCTGGAATGTGCTAAGGGAAGCCAAAATAGACCCTCCAATCCAAACACTGTACTTTCTCTCTGGGGGTGCAACCACCTTGATCTTCATGCTGCTTGGTGCAAGTGCCGTGATCTCCTTGCTCATACGATCAGCAATACCAGGAAACATTGTGGACCCACCACTAAGGACTATGTTACCATATAAATCCTTCCTGATGTCAACATCACACTTCATGATCGAGTTATAGGTGGTCTCATGAATTCCAGGAGCTTCCATCCCAATGAGTGATGGTTGAAACAAGACCTCAGGACAACGGAAACGCTCTGCCCCAATGGTTATTACTTGCCCATCAGGTAGCTCATAGCTCTTCTCAATTGATGAGCTACTTTTAGCAGTTTCAAGCTCCTGCTCAAAGTCAAGTGCCACGTAGGCAAGCTTCTCCTTGATGTCACGAACAATTTCCCGTTCAGCAGTTGTGGTGAATGAATAGCCCCTCTCTGTCAGGATCTTCATCAAGGCATCTGTTAAATCCCGTCCAGCAAGGTCAAGCCTGAGAATAGCATGGGGAAGCGCATAGCCTTCATAGATGGGAACAGTGTGACTCACTCCATCACCAGAGTCCAGCACAATGCCTGGGAATAGAGCATAAATCATCAAATTAATACACCACTTTTTCCACAAGTAGTATTGGCAGTCTGAAGTGAGGAATTGCTCCAATGTTTGCATTGCAACAAACCTGTAGTGCGTCCACTAGCATAGAGGGAGAGAACTGCTTGGATTGCAACATACATGGCAGGGACATTAAATGTCTCAAACATGATTTGTGTCATCTTCTCTCTGTTGGCCTTAGGATTTAGGGGTGCTTCAGTGAGGAGCACGGGATGTTCTTCAGGAGCCACACGAAGCTCATTGTAGAAAGTATGATGCCAGATCTTCTCCATGTCATCCCAGTTGCTAACAATACCATGTTCAATGGGATATTTCAATGTGAGAATACCTCTTTTGGACTGAGCCTCATCACCAACATATGCATCTTTCTGTCCCATCCCCACCATAACACCTGTGTGCCTAGGCCTACCAACAATACTGGGGAAAACAGCCCTAGGTGCATCATCTCCAGCAAACCCAGCCTGCACAGGAAAACAACCACAGGTTAATCCCAAAAGGCTAACTTTTCATAACTTTTCAAAACTTTGCAAGCTTGAGATAGGAGAAAGGCCTTTAGAAATCAATTGCCCTCACCTTAACCATTCCAGTTCCATTATCAACAACCAGGGGCTGAATGTCCTCACCTTCTGCCATATCTTAGATTGTCTTGACCCTGGAAACAAGGCAATTATTCATTAAAAGAATATCACTTTATACCATAAATGAGGTCACATAAATTATAAAGGAGTCAGATGAATATTTTCTTCAAGGACTAAATCAGAGAAGAAATTGACAAGCATTATTCAGAAACAAAATCAATTGCCCAATAAGCTTCGTTCTTTACATTTGCTGGTTTAGTGATTCTCCTAACTGAAAGTAATTAAGACCAACTACAAATGAAGGACTGAACCATTCACAGATTGCAAAACAAAAAAATACCAACAAATAACTCCCTTTCAACCTAACCAACACACACTCTTGACTTGACATGGAAACTAAATAAGAAGTGCAAATAAATCCTCTAGCTATCAAGACTAAGATGGATCAGGTGCTTCACGGGTAAAAAAAAAATCAACTATAGCACAAAAATGGCATGTGAAGGGGATACCCACTTCTTCACTTTATATGAAATCTAGAAGCTCAGATTAAAATCCCAAGGGATTATAAAAATATGGTTGAAGAACTGCCAGAAGAACATTTGTCTTGTAGTAGTTGATTCTCATAAGTTAAACTATGCCATATTCCAAAGTAAAATAAAAATAATTATCAACATCTGATGCCTCATCATTAAAAAAATAGAAAAAAAAAAAAATCCAACAACAAATTCAGATCCATAACCTTATAACATAATCCATCTATATTGGAACTAAAGAATTAGGCAATGAACTCAAAAACGAATAACTAAATTGACCAAGTTCAGTATCTTAGTTTAGATCCGATCAATCATCAAAGTCCATTCGGTCTACTTTCAGCAGATCTATTTTAAAAACGACAATCCAACCAAAAAAAAAAGTGAAAATATGGGGAAAAGAGCGGATATGTGGCGACTCTTTTAAAGAGAAAAAAAAAGTTTAGTACTGTGCATCCTAATTTCGCAAAGATTCTGAATTTGAACATCAGAGACGAGATCAACAAGTGCTTCAGTTCTTGAAGCCATCCATGAGAACAAATTCAACCAAATCAGAGTCGAAAACATCGAAACAAACAGTACTTTCATGGCAATCAAAGCACAAAATCAAGAAAGAGGCAATAATCATGGAGCTCTATGAGTGAAAAGAGATTACCTTTGTGATTACAACAGTAGCAGAATCCTCTTAATAAACAGAAAACAGATCAACAGGAAAACTGAGAGAAAATTTGAGGGAAAGAGACGGACCTGAGGCTGAAACGGAGGAGAAATTCAGACGGAAATGCGATGATGGAGGAGAGTGTGTGCCTGTAGTATCTAGAATAGTGGGCAGTGGTCTCTTTTTCTTCAATCCCACGGGAAGAAAAAGAAGGAACAGAAGGACAGGTGCCAGTTGTGTGATACGAGATGGGCCTCAAAGTAAAGGCAAGTGGACCTCTACTTTCTTCTTTTTCTCGAATCTGCTCCCTTTCTTTTTATTCTTTCCACACATTTTTTATTTTTATGAAAAGAATTTTTATTTTCTTTTTATTCTCTTTAAAAAGCTAAATTTAGCTTTAATAATGTTGGAATTTGAAGTTACAACATAGCCTTTTGTTGTTAAATCTTATTAATTTTTCATGATTTAACATTTTTTTTTCTCTGCTTAAAATAATATTTCTAAAGAAATTAGTTCAACCAAACATAATCTAAATATATATAGTTCATTTTTTATTGTTTTATTTTAATTACTAAAAATGACAAAGTTTACTTAATTGATATGAATTATCTAATCGTTGAGTTATTGAGATATTAAAACATAATCACTTTTGCCCAAATAGGCTTACAAATTGTTGTGCGTTTTTTTAACCTTAACAAATTTGTAATTTGGTATTGATTTACTTATTTGATCTCATTTATTAAATTAAAAAAAGACAAAATAGCTTTTAGGAAACTCCAATAGGTACACAAACGTGGCAGTTCAAAGGATTTAGACTCACATATAGATAGGATTACTTTCTATTAGTGTAACATATAAATAATAGAGAATTACTAATAAGAGATTAATTAGTAGTAGCTTTGGTGCTCTCATCAAAGAAAAATGAAAATACTAGTAGCTTTGATACACACTGAATTTGAATTCTCCATTTTGGGTTGAAAATCAAAATTTCCATCATTATTAATGGAAATCATTAAAAAAAAATTTTTTTTTCCTTTGATGATAAAAGTGGAAAAAAAGTAGACGACAATGGAATCAACTTTTAAGCCACAGAGTGGAATCAACTTAGATGGGCCACTGTCCTAGAAGAAAATTCCTATTACAAATAACGGGCCCAAGTTAAATTCATTTTTTTTTATATCAATAATTAGTTATACAATACTCCCTCTCACTTAATTCCTTTGTGTTTATTTTAAAAAATCTAATTTAAAATATCAAATTTTATCATCGAGCTGGCCCACGTTAAATTTGTAAATGGCTTGAATAACCTCAAGTCATGTACACCCTCACGTTGGCCCAAGTTAAATTTTTAAATGGCATGAATAACCTAGCCCAATAACCCCCGTGACAGACACGTGCGTTCTGCAAACCGCGAAGAAAGGGTCCAGGAGATCACAAACGGGTTTTACTTTTACTTAAAAACCCTGAAATCGGAGAAAGTGGAAGGCCGGAACTGTAAGCAGCAGGAGAAGGGGGTTTTGATCGGAGCAAGCAGCGACCATTTCGGGAAGAAGAAGATGTGGATGGGGGGTTTCGTGAGGAAGAACATGGAGAGTAGCGTTGCCTTGGGGAGTATTTTCTCCCGGTACATGTCGAGGAGTCGAGCGGTAAACGTGAGGAAAATCAACCCGAAGGTACCCATCGAAGAAGCCAAATCCATCGCCCATTCTCTCTACGATATAATAAGGCAACACGGCCCCCTCAGCATCTCCAATACTTGGATCCAAGCCAAGGTTCTTTCTTTCTCGCTTTTGAATTTTTTTGTTTCATTTTCACCATTGTCGTTGATGCATCATTTCAATGGGATTAGCAAAGCTTGGACCTTCTTGTAGTTTCAATGCATCATGTTAAATAATCAAGATTAGTAGGGAAATGGGTTCCATTTCTTACTTAGTTTTTACTTCTAATTTTCCTGTCATTTTAGTTTTCTAGGAGCCAAAGAATCACGGATTAGTTTCTATAGTGAGTGCACTGAATCTTCTAGTCTCTAGATAAATCAAATATGTGTGTTGTCCTGAACTTACGCAAATCGATTTGAAGTATTCCTTTATCAACCTTTGCTTGGTGAACTTACAGCATATTTGATGCGGTTGTTGTGTTGCAACATTGTTTAAGATTATAAATTTAAACAGCTAGATTAAAGAATTTTTTTTTTTTTTTTAGTTTCTTTTAAACATTTCATTTCTTATTTCTCTCTTATTTTAATTCCTATTTTCTTTATGAGTTTAATGCATACAGTGCAAACAAAATTGGACGTCCATTTGATCCAATCAATTGTCTAACCATGGAGATCAAGCATTTTGTTCTAACTAATGTAAAAATTTAGGTTACAATTAGTGTGTACTTTAGAATTGATGTTAATATCATTTATTCATTTATCTGTTAAAACTTATATATAGAATTTGTAGACATAATTCCAAATTGAAAAGGGTTTAAATTATTCATTAGCTTTGGTTTTATTGATATTTTGTTTTTGTGTGCTCTTTGCCTGTTTTTATCTTTTGTTTCTGGGTTATGTCTGCACCTGTTGGAATTAGAGTTTAACATGTAATTGTAATAGATTGCAAGCCCTTCACTTGGTTAATTTATACAATTGTGTTGTGTGTGTAGGGAGTTTTAGAAAAGAAAGAGTCAATTTATATGATGGCTCATCTTTTGGTAGTTGTAACTCCAGCATTTGTCAGCACTGCATATGCAGGGTGTGATTGCATTAAAAACTTTTGTATCCTTGGGCATACTTAAGAGTTTCTCATTCAGCTTTCCCTTCTTCGTAAGTTTTATTAATTTTCAATGACAGGAAGCTGGTATTAGTGGATTAAACAGCAAAACACACATGAAGATAATGCTAAAATGGATGAGGGGAAGAAAAATGCTAAAGTTGTTGTGCAATCACGTTGGTAACAACAAGAAATTTTTACACTGTACTCTGCCTGAAGAGCCTCATCATG